ATAACCAGACCTATTTGGTGGCATTAAACTCCTACTTTCACTTTCACATACTTCATTTCCGGTTAAGAGATACGTACGAAACTAAGGCTTTCGATTTAATGCTTTACCGAGCGCTGTGGAGGAGGGTTTATTATCTCAAATTCAAATCTCGTTCTTTATAAGATATCTTATAACCGAATTATATAAGATATCTCATTTAATTTTGTTTATAAGATATCTTATATATTATATAAGATATCTTCTAAAAGATATAAGATATCTCATTTAATTTTCTTTATAAGATATCTTATATCTTTTATGAGATATCTTAAATGATATATAAGATATCTTATATCTTTTATGAGATATCTTATAAAGAAAGGTATATAAGATATCTTATAAAATATATAAGATATCTCATTTATTACATAAAGTATATAAGATATCTTATATAATTAAATAAGATATCTTATATAATTTGGTTAAGTACTGGATCAACATTGCTCCATATATAAATGACAACTTGGCTTGCCATAGACATCGGCTCCTCTCGGCTCCTCACGGGCTCCTCACCCTCTTTGATTGGCCTACATCGGCTCCTCACTACTCCTTGTATTACGTGCTCCTCACTCTCTCTGATTGGCCGTACTGTAGTTATATTTAGCCGCACGTTACTAAAAATACGTAGTTCCTACTCTATTTCACAACTATGCCGTAACATGACCTACATCTTCTACACAACAACATACATACACTGGCTCATATATACACTTAGTTTACCTATTAAACTTTAAAATATAACTATAACTGTATTTACTATAAAAACCGCAATAGATGTAAACTCTATAATATTGTACAATGTGGGGAAATATTTCCACGCTACAATAAGATCCCAAATTTACCTACCTGTAGGGACGCACATGAAAGGTGGACATCTGGACAAAACACTATTGAATTACAGACAAGTATTTTAAGTTCCCGAACATGCAAAGTGACAAACGCTAACAATGCGGGCAATTAGTCGGCTTGACCACACAAAGAAACAAGAGTTATTTAAGTCGCGTTGTTTACCAACATGACAGGCTGACCAGGTGTTAGGCATGCCAACACATCGCACATGCGTAAACTGAGTTGTATGCACTAATCCTTAATTGGGGCACCTGATTGGACGAGCGGACAGAGAGGTTATTTCTAAGTACGCGTGTCTCGGGCTAGAATTCACTCTACGCCCAGACATCAATAATAAACAACGTCAACTGAACCTATGCTGTTTGTTCTTCCAATTCAGGTAAGAATGTTTGATATATTTTTCTAAGTTTTGTACTATTTTTGATTATTCATAAATGTGAAAAAGGTTATATTCCGAAAAATCACACAATGTATTGCAACTTTATTGGTAAGCGTGAGATGCTTTATTGTCTTATGTTTACTGTAGAATTTTAGATCAAGAAAGATTACACTAAGAATTGTTTTTATTAGAAGTTGCTATTTTGTATACACATTCTATATGGAAGATTTACTACGTTACACGAATTTAACATTAACTTTTAAATTGTATATTTTTGTATTTAATCATAGTTTTGTCGTAATTGTTTATTTTTCTATATGTCTATGTAAACCAGACATCATAGTTATTATCCAACTTCTAAATTACTCTTGACTAGATACTACATTCAGTGAAATAGCGGATAAGGTACAATAAGAGTTATCTCCCTTGCATATCCGGGAAAACTACAGAATAACACAGTCAACTTGTCCTGTCGAAATAACCTAAAAATCAATATTGGAAAATGTTTCCAAGCACAAACAAGATCAAGACATACATTTTAAGTGTGTTTATGATATAGTCTTTCAATTGAAAACTTGATTAGTTTATACTTAATAAACCAACCGCTTCGAACCTGGGTGAAATATGACGTACTTAAACAAGTAAAAGACCCGCGTAGTCTAGAATTCTGATCACTTAAGTGTTCTTTGTAAATAGTTATATGGCTTGATTTGAATTTTTCTTAAGTTCCCTTTTAATATATTAACTTGTGTTTTACATGAAATAGAGATTCTAGGTAAATCATCGTTGATATTAAACAGTGTGTCGAAAGATAGAGATCTGATAGTTAGGGTAGGTACCGTGGGTCAGGTATATGCCTATCCCCTTCGGGCGGAAGTAGACTACACCCACGCAACCCTCCAAGTCATAAACCGGAAGTAAGCATTTTGTAAACAAAAGCACGTGTTAGCTGTCAGACAGTTTAGTCACTGTTAGCTTAGCAGTGGGTACTGCTTTACTTAATTACTAAAGCGTAATAAAATATGTCAATATAATTTAGTGTTGTAAGTAAACAAAAGATAGATTGAATGAGGAAGAAGATTGAAATCAATAACTTTTCTATGTAAACAACATCATGTCTTATACATATTCTCTGTTGTCATGGTTACCAGAAACACTTACCTTATAGTGTTTATGATATCTGAGGTATTAATTCAGCTGTCAATATCTTAGAAAAAGAGTTGTCCAGATTTATAAGTATTTTATGAGCAATAACTTCATATATTCACGGTAGATTAAATAAACATATTCTGTTTACCATCTCATTTACTGCTCGCATAAAAATAACCTTTTGATTGACCATTTTGAATTTAAATATTTATGAAACATTCACATTGAATTGTTATAAAATATTCTTATTAGCTAGTATCTTTCGAATGCATTGTACATCCATAATGTATGCAAAATATTTACGAAAATTGTCATTCTGAATTTATATGCGCTGTAATTCACTCTACGCCCAGACAACAATAATAAACAACGTCAACTTAACCACTGCTGTTTGGTCTTCCAACTCAGGGTCATCCTTAACCATCACGTTCGACTAAAAGGTGTATAAGCAGGGTTTTTGCCAGCTATTTTCGGAAAGAGCCCCTGAGCAGGAATTGGGAAAATATCATCGGCATTTGGCAAAAATTGGGAAATATCAGCAGTGTTCCTTCATGGGAAGGTTCGGGAAAATATCATAAGTTTTGAGAAATAAAACCTACAATGTGAAAAGCAAAGTACTCTCTAGCTGTTTCTTACAGTAAAATGTATAGCAATAGATAAACACATCAATTTTCAGTGTTTTGTTTGTTCAATTTCAAATTTCCGTTATTTATGTATTTTGAATGCTCATTGCACATATAACGACTGGAAACTTGTATAAACATGTGGGTTTTTTTGGCGTTTTTTTTTTTATTTTATTGGGAAGATAAAGACTGAAATTGAATTGAAGCCCCAAAAAAAACCTCTGGATCCGCCGCTGAAAACCCCTGATCAGACTACCGAGACAAGTATAAAAATACAAAGGGCAGATATTGCGGAACACAGCTGTGGCGTTACATGTAAGGTCGTCACTGTTATCAGCCTGACCAATTGTAACACTGTTGACCGCGGTATCAAGTATCCCTGTCCCTGTTGAAGTATGAGCGTATAACTAGTAATATAAACCGGAGACATTTTATAACACAGCACCTGTACTATTTTCATCATAAACCCTGTACAAGTACGAAGTTTGAAATATTGATTAATTAAATTACAATCCAATCCAGGTATAAAGAGCAGATGGCAACTGTATATACCAGTCCCAGGTAGCAGATCGGCAAATGTTAAGGTAAGTAAAACCAGACTGAAAATTTGCTTCATTATAATGTTTATTTTAAGTTTTCTTATTGCAGCACAACGGGAAATGCATGTTAACAAATATCATTTTCTTGAAAAGGTACCAGTCAAACAGATTTAACTAGAAAAGCATATTTTTCTCCATTCCAATTTTAGGCTTTTGATGAATTTAATAGGATTTAAGTATATATAATTTATAATAGATCAAGCGTATGTTTTCAAACAAACTCTTGATTTTTTTTTAACTTTTTCAACAAAATAATTATTCGTGTTTTTATTTAATCAGCTTTGATATGTTCGTACTAACTTAAATGAATTCCTTTTGTTAAACAGTTAATCCTAATAAAGAATTAAGTTCGTATATGATTCTTTTAACCTTTCCAATATTCAATAGCTTACATTCGCTTTCAAAAAAATGTCATTTGTAAATTAAAAAAACACACCATCATTTTCATTCACAACGTAGAAAATAGTATTTTATGATTGTTACAATTACGGAACAGAACGAAGCTTATCCCGGTTTTAAAGTTATTTTATTGCTAGAAATGATATTAATACTTCAAATATGCACTTCTTTGGGTTGTGTCGCCCTTGGCTTCTAATGTTAGCCCGTTCTGAAGAAAACTTTAATATTATGCTACCATATCTAAATTAGAAAGTTACAGAGATATATCAATTATTATTCCCATCAAAAACCTAGTAGACATACTATTCAGGAACCGTGTTAAAATCCTTTCAAAGAATATCGATATATATCCTAGGATATATCCCAATATAACGTCTCAGTACCCAAAGCGGGACACTTGAAGAAAAAAGTCACAAGAAATTTGCATGCTGTGCAAAGAAGTATTTTTAAATTGAAAATATTGATTTAAAGATGCGAATATACTAATAAAATATTATATGAACTTTATTTACTGCCACTTATGGTTACACTCACACTTTTAGTTTATAAATAATAACGTAAATGTTTCGTTCTAAATTGATGCACCATGCGACGTAATTGATTTTCAATTTTTGTATGTGACTTTTCACAATCCTACTTTTTCACAACTAATGGTAGTTTGGAAAAGAAATTCATTCAGAACGACCCTTGACTCTTAAATATTCCAAAGATATGCCATGTTGTGCCAACTACTTTTTTCATCTCCAAATGTAAGCCAAAACTGGTAGGGGTGTCCCGATTTGGGTACAGCCACACCTGTTTCGCGATTACGTAACCATGCTTATTATACCTCTACTTATTTTACACTATACAAAAGTAACCACATAAACAAGCTATTTCACCGCTAACTGCATGCCAGGGAAATAGTTCGTCTGGAGCGGTGCGATAGTTTTGAAACTATTTCCCTCTGAAAAGGCGGGAGCCGGTACTTTCTGGACCGACCTTCACCTCGCATTGTTGTTGACAGACGACAACAGAAATTGCGACCCCCAGGTTTTCTGTGTTGGACGAGAGCAAGTTGTCGGACATATTGGAGGCAAAAGACAGTTGGAACACAAAAAAACAGTACATTGTTCTCTAGCTACCTAGAAAAGGGTTTGGATATCGCGGACATGGAAACGGGCACAGTGGAGAATTGTGATGCGACGCTGAGGCGTTTTTATGCCGAGCTTCTAAAGCAGGATGGGAAAAAGAATATATTCTGTTGTCTAATAATATTTAGAATATTGTAATGGAGTGTTTGTGTCGGTATAATAAAACAGTTGAAGTATGGGTATTTAGGGATAGAGCAAGTTTATGATCCCACTCGTCCAGGACTATTTCCCTCGGCTTCGCCTCGGCAAATAGTCCTGGCCTCGGGGGATCATAAACTTGCTATATCCCTCATCCCCATACTTTAACTGTTCACTATATTTCCGGTTCTATTTATAGAACCACCCACCGGAAATATCAACTTGTTATCAAAATGAAAAGACAAGGATATCTTTTTAGGAAAAGTGATCAAACATTACTGGGATAGGTACTATGGTATGGAATACATAATTAGTTCACTAAAAAGTGTCCCGATTTTGGTACTGTGACGTTATACTCAAGTATATATCCCAAAACATATCCAGTATATATCTGAATGCATATCCCAGTATATATTCCAATATATATCCCTGTATATATTACAGTATATATCCCAGTATATATCCTAATAAATATCCAAATATATATCTAAAATATTCTATTTTCAATTTATGTTAATACCGTGCTATGATTAGGGATAAATGACAGAAGTTCCCTATAGAAGCTCAATTTGACCACTGACGACATCATTTATACATTTTATATACATGTGTCATGGTCGTATCTGTTGAGTTTAGTTGGTAGACAGCAGCAGTAATTTACCCTGGTAACTGATCCGCTAACTTTTCGGGCACTTGGCATTTGAATAAAAACATTGCCTTCTTAAATAACTTATTATCAGATTTTTTTTTTTTTTTAATTTATGGAACTCCATTTTAGGGAAAACGATGCGCATCAAATTAACGATTGCAAATGACTGTTTCTAATTTTGATTGACAGGTTAATCCAGACGCATATTAGCCGTTGCTGACGTCACAGAATGGGGTTTCGGATGATTACCACACTTCTGATCTCGTTTCTTGTCGTTTGCGCATGTACCGCCGCCACGCTAAAGTCTGCGCACGCTCAGCGGAAGCTCCGTACGGATGGCTTCCTGTCTGTCTCTGCTTTCAACATAAAGACTTTTGGAAAGGCCAAGATGAGTAATGCCGAAGTTGCTGAAACCATTAAAAATGTATGACAGTGTGGTTTTTAGAAGAATTTTTTTTTATTTTTGATGTAATACTTATTCTAGTTTATTGGTCATCATAAATAACTCCGATGAATGAAGTAAAATTATTATATTGCTCTTTTTTCAGATATCTTCAGGGAAATTGTTATGTTATTATAAATACATCTGATCAAAAGTAGTTTACTCGAATACCGAACATGTAAAGGGGAGGGTCATTGGAACAAGTAACGGAAGACAACAAACCCGGGAATGTATAGGAACGGAAAGTGATAAGCGGGGCGCATAAATAGAAGGAAAACAAAAGGGGAAATTGGGAAACTGACAGGGAGAGACGGACAATGCCAGAAACATTGACGAAAGAGATTTAGTTGGAGAGGGACAGGAAATAAAATACAAGGGAGGTAAACAAAAGAAGGGATTTCATACTTACTGCTGCACATCAATAACTCTTAAAGTTTAAGCGATTTTGACTGATAACTCTATTGGTTGCATCGAGGAGGCATTTCGCATTTATGTTCTTAAAAGTAAAAGATAAGAACGTCCCGTTTGTGTCTAAAAAAATCAAATTCACGAAATCATCAGTTTTCAAACAAATAAACAAGTTAAAAGCCAAAACTTGATCCATTAGTAGTTGTTTTAAACACAATTAAAGTGTAAGTCCCCAATTGAAGCAAACGCCACCTGTTTCAGATCGTTTTGGAGTATGACCTGATCCTGATCCAGGAGATCCGAGATGCTAGCGGGGAGTCGTTTGCATTGCTCCTTGATATGGTTAACAGGTATGATTGGAATTGACCGAGGTCTTCCGAAAACAGTGGAACCTTTACACATCGAAAATTAATTTATGAACTCTTACATATAAAAAAAAATGTAATTGTTTGAAGAATATATTTCATTTTCTATCATTCCTTTTCTGTTTTAATCAATTTCAGCCTTGCCCTCGCTCCGTTCAATCTCTGCTCATTTCCTCTGGTAGCATTTCAAATTCTAATGCAATCTGCTTCTTTTTCAATCTTTTGATTATCACCGCAGTGTGGAGCCTTATGGAATGACCATCAGTGAAAGACTGGGGAGGTCATCTTACAAGGAGCAGTACGCATATTTTTACAGGTATACATTTATTTATCGTTTCAACTATAGTTACCAAATCGTCCATATTTGTTTGATTTGAATACAATTTCTTAGAAACAACAATAGCTTTCAAAATAACCTTAATCTCTGTTCCAATCTAGAAAATCAATTTCAATATGCGTCATAGCTTTTCAAAACAAATCCTAAAGAGTACATATACCCCTTTCATTTTAGCGTAACAGAAGACTTGTTGTTCGAATTGACACAAGCAATAGCTGTTCAAAAGGAGATTTAGTGTAGTGACGTACTGTAATATAGTATTATAGTAAACGTCATCAAACTGAAATCAATCTTAATATCAATGCTGATTTATCTTTTCTGTGTTCTCCAGGAAGTCCGCACTCACCCTCCTAGAGACACGACTGTTCCCCGACCCCGGGGATGAGTTCGAGAGGGAACCATACAGCGCCCTGTTTCAATCTACTTTTAGCTCTCAAAGTACAGTATTGTTACACAGTGGAGACTTCATATAGAATCATGCATTTTATGATAGGCTATCTTCTACTACATTAGATAGTGATGCTTATCAGTTATGGACTGTTGTTGAGGTGAATATGTGGTTATATGAACATGAGAAAGTGATATTAACCGAGACGAAGGGGAGGTCAAAATCACTTTTTCAGGTCCATATAACCACATATTCACAGAAATAAAAGTCCTCAATTGTTATAGCGGATGCTTCGTAAAGTTTCAATAATTACACAAGATGGAACGTATGAAAGTTGTTGGGAGGAAATTCTGAATTTGGCAGATAACATTGTGACATACAATTGAAATGAGATCATAAAATGAATATTGACCTGATGTTTCGTGACAAAGTAACACCGAGTTACAATGTAATACCACAAATCACCGACCTCCACGTTATTATGAATCAAACAATTAGGATACAGCAAAAACGCGTGTCACCTGATATTACTATATGTAAAAGGTCGTGGAGTGTTACAGCAGCTATCACAGAATACATAATGAACATACAGTCAAAGCATTTAACTTCTAGGTCTTTACAAATTAAGGATCCCAGTACCACTGCCAAAAACTGTAATCAAGTACTTGAGACTATTTATTCCGACATGACTTCAGTTTTGATAAATCATTTTTGTAAAGTAAACCATACCATGTGGAACTTTTATGAAAAGAAGTAAAATAAACAAAGAACAATAGCAACACTAGGGCTAGACCGGGATTTGAACCCTTGACCTCAGATTGTTGACCGACTGAGCTACCTGGTCAAAGGAAGTGTCATAGAACAAATACTCTACAATTATATCCAATACAGAAATAAGGGGAGGCAATAGTAATTGCAAAAGTCAAAAGTGCAGCGGGACAGGGATCCATAATGTTCATTGACTTGTTATTAATGGTGGTCTTATTCAATGATATTTAAAGGTATTTTTACATGGAAATTGAAGTTTTAAACTAAAATTAGACATCATATCAGAATCATTTCTCATTGTTTCTCATGTGTACGCTGTAAATATAACGCTTATTGTTCTATTTCCGAGGTTATCTCGCAATTGACGCGACGAAAAATATGTACATAAAGCAAATGATTGTGACTAATTTATGCTAATTTAAGGTTTTGTCGTCATGGGACTACACGCCAAGCCGGATGACGCAGTCAGGGAAATTGAACTGATGGAGGCCGCTTACGAGGACGCTCTTAACACATTAAATAATCCAGTAGGTCATTTTATCCACTACTTTATGGTATTTTATTTCTGAAGTTCAAGGTCACACAACCCAGAAGGTTAAGTCACACTTTTATATGTAACTAGGATACCAGTTAAAGTAGGTCACATTAAGATGGATTAAGATAGCATAATTAACTGATCAAAGTTCTGTGAATGGAAAAGGAAACCTCGTTCAACGGAGCAACCTACAACGTACTGAATAGCTCAATATATTTCAGAATCATTGAAAACTGTTGTTTTGCCGAACCCCCTTGATAGAATCCATATGATTTTCATGGAAAACTGCAAATTGTTATACTTTCTTGACCACACTCTCATTGTAGAATTTGGCGATATGCCTAGAGGTTCTACGGCAGATCAGTATGTTACAATTTGTATCAATGAAAACTTCAATGTTAGATGCTGAGCATAATAAATAAGTTTCTTAATGGGGAATGTTTCGCCGCCATTTTTCATTTTCTCATATCTTATTAGAGATTACTCATGAATGACAATTCCAATATTACATTTTTTTTTGTATACATTCTGAGTCAAATTATACAACATAAAAATACGATAGTTATACCGTATATAGACTAGTACGTATATATTCTCAGAATATGATCATCATGGGAGATTTCAACGCCGACTGTTCTTACGCTAAAGAGTCTGAGCTGGCGCCATTTTCATTCTACTATGACAGCACATTTGATTGGCTGACTCCGTGGGATGCAGACACAACTACTTCCCGTAATACAGACTGTGCATACGACAGGTCAGTTTGTGTATTTACACGTGATTGCATTGTCATTGATGACGTCACAAGTGTAATCAAAGAACAATTTGCTCATCATGTCCATATATTTACCAATCTATGATATTCCTACTCACTGACGCCAGATAATAGGCTACACATGTCAGAGATTGTTACTTAGTACATGTCTACGTCAGCTGTAATCTCGTAAACGAGACGTGATTTGGTTGTAACATTGGGTATAGCATCGTTCTGTATATCAATTTGATATCGTTAACGAGACGTGATTTGGTCGTAACATTGGGTATAGCATCGTTCTTTAATATCAATTTGATCAGATACACTTTGCATTTCTTCTTTACTATCTTATCAAATTTTATTCACCATTTGCCGAATTCAGAGATATTTTAGTATTGTTTCGATGCTTGAGTCCTATAACTAAATACACCTTAACAAATTATGGAACAACGGAGTTTGTTTGTGTGTTATTTTCTTTCGTGCTCTCACTAAGGGGATAGTACCATGTTGTTTTGAGTGGCTATACTGGCGATTAGAACATGGAATTTGGTTTGAACTCGAGACCTTAACTCGAGAGTTTAAACCAAGATGCCATGTTCTAATCGACACAAACAACAATGTACTATCCAAATTCTAGCACATCTTAACAAAACATTGAATTGACCTTGCTACAAGTAAGTAGTAAAGTACTATGTGAACTGTACTGGTGGGTACTGTATTACCATACCAAGGAATTTTATGTTGACTGTAATTATTATGACTTTCGTATTGACGTCATCATTAGTATGACGTCAAAATTTTAAAGTTAGATACTACTGCGCTTTCATGGCTGTTTCTTGCATTGAACAATCATACAAGATATATTACATTAAGTTGAACTAGATGAAGAATTTTATTAAGCAGACTTTGATTCTGATATTGACATACCCAAATAGAATACATTTAAATATTAGCATTGACCTGTGTCATTTGCAATCTATATAAGGCACACAGTGAGTGCATTGGAGTTTTTATATTAATGCAAAGATAAATTGATCTCAAGTTTTTATCTTTTAACTAAGCCCCTATTTTCACTCGCTTGCTGTATTTACATTGCAATCTTTTGCTGCTTTATTAACTCAAAATTTTGTTTGATAACATGCTATATTTTTCAATGGCGTTGTACTACAACAAAATTAACAACATCAAGCACAGTTATTTTTGTTTTGTATTAGAATCGTTGTGACCGGAAGTCTAAAAGACGACATAATCAGTTCATCTGTCTACCACTTTGAAGAAACGTACCATCTAAATGATGACGAGGTAAGTCTCCTGCTGAAAAAACCCATAAATTTTAAACTTTGGCAACGAAGGTGCCAGGCTAGGCGAAAAGTCATATCTGTACAATGACAAGTTAAGTTCCTTACTAAACGAATTTATGTCTTAAATTTGACTTTATAAATTTGCAACTCTTTGCTAATTCGTGCCATTGTATCAATAACGATCCCAAATGGAGACGGTTTATATGTTTATAGGCAAGTGTATACTTAAACGACTTCTTAGCAGAAGTCACAGAAAAACCGTATCTACAGGGCCTTCACATTAAACCGTATCTACAGGGCCTTCACATTAAACCGTATCTACAGGGCCTTCACATTAAACCGTATCTACAGGGCCTTCACATTAAACCGTATCTACAGGGCCTTCACATTAAACCGTATCTACAGGGCCTTCACATTAAACCGTATCTACAGGGCCTTCACATTAAACCGTATCTACAGGGCCTTCACATTAAACAAACAAACTCCATTGAGACATGTTTCTATTGTGATCTTCAATGACTTGAATACTCATAAGTTATTTGAATAGTATATTGCTCCCAAATGCGCCTTCAAAATGTACACACTTTACACATTATTTAATTTGAAATTAATCAGTACTCCTCGTAAACTTTGAATTAATAAAAATCAGGGGTTTCACGCACCTGACAGAAGTTTAGACACTTTTATTTCCAACTTTTATGCCCTAATCATTTACGATGATACCTAAAAGGATGAAATAGTTGTGTGATGCAGTCTAGTTCGTGTTTTGGCCTTCTGTGTCGATCAACAAATTTTACAAGTACAGTTACCTGTGTGTGTTGGTGTGTGTGTGTGTGTGTTTGTGTGTATTTGTGTAACGTTCATCTTTCAAGATACAAGGTGGTAGATTCTGCTTGTGGAGTTAAATCCCCGAGGTTTGCTGTAACCATGATGGCCACAGTTATCTTTTTTGATATCTCTCAAAATGGCGTTTAATGTTTACAAGAGTTTGACCTTTAACCTTATGCTCAATGTTGCAGATGAAGGCTGTCAGTGATCACTACCCAGTGGATGTGTTTCTCGTGGTGTGACGTCACAATCGTAATACATGCGATCTTAAAAAATCGAATGAAATAGATTAAAATGAAAATAAAACACATTTTTCTCTCTCCTCTATTGTTTGTCTCAATCGAGACTGATAGCAACTTGGTCGGTCAGATCTTCATAAATTCTCATCTTACCTTATTGGTTCAGTTATTGCCAAGCCGAAGCTACGAAAATTGCCGAAAGAGTTGATTTGCAGCCCCTGAAAAATGCCGAGAGAGTTAGTCTGTAGAGATGTTTTATTTTTCGGACTAGAACTCGGATAATAGGCGATTAACCCCCTTAACAGTGAAACCAGGGCAAAGAGCAGTGATATTCCGTTTATTTCATCAATTCTAATATAAGTTCGGTTTTATTATGCTGCAATCTGAGTAATTTTGAAAATCATTTTTGCAGTCCATTTTATCTATTTGAATTCAAAGGAATGCTGTAAACGTGCTTACAATTCGCACATTTATTTTTTAATTCTCAAGAATATTACGTCGATTAGCGAAATAATATCCAAGGTTTTTCAAAAATCAGTTTGCTCAATAAAAAGGTAAATATCGAAATTCGTCAAAAAGTTCTGAGCGATTTTAGTTTTGATTAATTGAACGACAGTTATGTTTATACGCTAAAACATTTCTTTTAAAAATAGGGGCCTTGTCGTTTGTCAATTTCCTGTCGGATAATGTTGCCATCTTCGGAGACGCTTTATTTTGTTTGTCCCTTCATTATGTATAACATGCACCACAAAGAGAAAATTTACAACAGCGTAAACACACAAGGACAAAATATAACAAAGCGTCAACACAAAGGTACAAGATGTAACAAGGCGTAAACACACAAGGACAAAATATAACAAAGCGTCAACACAATAGGACAAAATATAACAAAGCGTCAACACACAAGGGCAAAATATAAAAAAGCGTCAACACAAAAGGCCATAATATAACAAAGCGTCAACACAAAAGGACAGGATATAACAAAGCGTCAACACAAAAGGGCAAAATATACCAAAGCGTCAACACAAAAGGACAAAATATACCAAAGCGTCAACACACAAGGACAAAATATAACAAAGCGTAAACACACAAGGACAAAATATAACAAAGCGTCAACACACAAGGACTAAATATAACAAAGCGTCAACACAAAAGGGCAAAATATAACAAAGCGCCAACACAAAAGGACAAAATATAACAAAGCGCCAACACAAAAGGACAAGATATAACAAAGCGTCAACACAAAAGGACACAATATAACAAAGCGTCAACACAAAAGGACACAATATAACAAAGCGTAAACACACAAGGACAAAATATAACAAAGCGTAAACACACAAGGGCAAAATATAACAAAGCGTCATCACAAAAGGACAAAATATAACAAAGCGTCACCGCAAAAGTACAAGATATAACAAAGCGTAAACACACAAGGACAAAATATAACAAAGCGTCAACACAAAAGGACAAAATATAACAAAGCGTCAACACAAAAGGACAGGATATAACAAAGCGTCAACACAAAAGGGCAAAATATAACAAAGCGTCATCACAGAAGGACAAAATATAACAAAACGACAACACAAAAGGACAAAATATAACAAAGAGTCAACACAAAAGGACAGGATATAACAAAGCGTCAACACAAAAGGACAACATATATAACAAAGCGTCAACACACAAGGACAAAATATAACAAAGCGTCAACACACAAGGACAAAATATAACAAAACGTCAACACAAAAGGACAAAATATAACAAAGCGTCAACACAAAAGGTCAAGATATAACAAAGCGTCAACACAAAAGGACAACATATATAACAAAGCATCAACACAAAAGGACAAAATATAACAAAGCGTCACCACAAAAGGACACAATATAACAAAGCGTCAACACACAAGGGCAAAATATAACAAAGCGTCACCACAACCGGACAAAATATAACAAAGCGTCAACACAAAAGGTCAAAATATAACAAAGCGTCAACACAAAAGGACAAAATATAACAAAGCGTCAACACAAAAGGACAAAATATAACAAAGCGTCAACACACAAGGGCAAAATATAACAAATCGTCAGCACAAAAGGACAAAATATAACAAAGCGTCAACACAAAAGGACAAGATATAACAAAGCGTCAACACAAAAGGACAACATATATAACAAAGCGTCAACACAAAAGGACAAAATTTAACAAAGCGTCAACAAAAAAGTACAAAATATATCAAAGTGTCAACACCCATTGATAGAATATGCCGCAGCGTCAAAACACAAGAACAAATAATCTCTAGCGTCAGCACAAAAAAAAACCTATGCAACAACTTCAACACACAAAGATGAAATATATAACAGCGTCAACACACAAGATCATTTTTGTTTGATATCTTTTACATATTTCAAACTCTGAGTGTGGTATTAACGGAAAGTTAAAACTTTTACAATGGAAGAAAATAAGAAATGCCAGCTGATAAGAAAATCAACGTAGGAGTTTTTTGTTGAACTAAAGCTTGCAACTGTAATACGAACTGAAATATATATTTCAAACAAGTTACAACTAAATTAAGATTTGTAATGCAGACAAATATACGTTCAACAAAATACTGTAAATGCAGCATGCTTCCTCAATTATAAAAAAGCAGCATTGAGGCCTAAATAGAAATATTGTGTGTGATATGCGGACGTGATTGATACAACCCTTGTTGTCTCGGTCAAGCAATAATGCTATGCTATAACAAATCTCTACCGAAGCGCTAACAGCAGTGTACTGAGTTAGACAGGTAACGAAGGTTCCTCATAAAACCTGCCTCAAATTAAGAGTTTTAATTGAATGGTTTTCTTTAATTCAATATTGCATATATGTTTTATCACTATATTAAATATGTTGGTGTGAAGTTTTAAAAAGCCATTTACGAGACATTATTTTCTATGTACAAACAATGAAATATGGTATAAAACCAGCAAATGTGGTTATGTACCATAATAAACAGAACAACATACACACGTATATCGCTATGTTTAAAGAGGGCTTTCCTTATCGGAAGTACGAGAATATTGTTTAAATACTACCACACAATAACAAAAAATATCAACCAAACAATAAAATTATATGAAATATTATTTTTATTCCATAAATTATATTACTTGAAATAATTTAATAAGGATAACAAATAATAATAAAACGGTTGACATGAGTCTTAAACAGGTCTAATCTTAATCTCAAACACGAGGAGAAAACAAGGTGTGACAAACCATCACTAACCAAGAATGCACCAAAATCAAAGCAAAAACAACATTGAACAGGCACGTGACACGAGTAAGTGACTTAACAGTAAAATAAAATTTCACTTAAATTGATTTGCATAAAAAATAATGCTTTAAACAAAATCATAACTCATATTAGCAATTAATGTATACACAACAGACAGATTGATATAAAGAAATCTAGAAGTTATGTCCTACATATTTTAGCAAAGATAGCATAGAACTACTTATTGTTACGTCATGGTTTATTCAAGTAAGATTATCCATCAGATACAGCGAGATGGTTATACTTCCTGGTTAATCAATGACAATACATACATGTATAAAACAGACTAATCTCTGGCTTGGATAGAAAGCTTCTAGCTGAACATGGCAGTATAATTTATTAAGCAATATGATAGTGTACCTTGCTAAACGACAAACTATATCTTGCTGGTAAAGCTATGAAATACCTTTCTAACCACTAAAGTACATGTATACTTTTCCTAACACTATAATAAATATACTTCGCATAACACCTAGATACACCTTGCTAAACATTGTTGCTAAATACAATGCTATACTTTGTTTAAATAGATATGTAATTTGTTGAACATTATAATATTATTTTGATCAACACTAAAATAGATCTCGCTAACACCAAACCAAACCTTGCTAAACACTGCAATATACCGTGCTAACAGCTAAATGTACCTGTTAAAACAATGCAATATACCGTGCTAACAGCTAAATGTACATGTTAAAACATTGCAATATACCGTGCTAACAGCTAAATGTACCTGTTAAAACACTGCAATATCCCGTGCTAGCAGCTAAATGTACCTGTTAAAACAATGCAATATACCGTGCTAACAGCTAAATGTACCTGTTCAAACACTGCAATATACCGTGCTAACAGCTCAATGTACATGTTCAAACACTGCAATATACCGTGCTTACAGCTAAATGTACCTGTTAAAACACTGCAATATACCGTGCTAACAGCTAAATGTACCTGTTAAAACAGTGCGATATACCGTACTAACAGCTCAATGTACATGTTAAAACACTGCGATATACCGTGCTAACAGCTAAATGTACCTGTTAAAACACTGCAATATACCGTGCTAACAGCTAAATGTATCTGTTAAAACAATGCAATATACCGTGCTAACAGCTAAATGTATCTGTTAAAATACGGATATCGTGCTATCATTACAACATAAATACTGTAGAAACAAGGATCAATAGCGTTATAAATTTAGCTATAAACAGGAAGATTATTAGATAATGTAAAAGAATATAAATCAAGATTTTTTTACAATTTTCCAATTAATATCAAAATGTAATCCGAACATGGTTTAACGAAACTTAATGCTCGATGAAAAAAAAATCTTTCCCTCAGATATTCAACAAAGGTTTACATACAGTTTGTTACACCTTGTATGCAACACCTTAATATGTAACAATGTTATTGATTCATATCGCTTGTAATAGTCTAAATCATAAACGAATTAAATACAACAAAACTCGTTAAGATCAAAATTTAAGTTTCTGAGTTAATGATATATTCCTTTGCAAAAATAGTATGTCTACACAAACAAGACGGAATGCGTAACAAAGGCGTTCACAATGAACATTAAAAAGTGACGTATTAAGATATTCCAATATTTTCACATGCTCTTTCAGAAAAGTACCTTAAATAAAAGAACCGTTATGAGTTAAAACCTACCGGATGTAACCTGCGTAAGCTTAAAGAATATTTTGATAAGCATCCCTGCAGAATCATCTGGAATGATTACTTCCGTGACTTCTGCTTAGGGAAGACAGGAGAAGCAAGGGATGCACCTTATG